TACACCTATCCAAGGACTTTCGGGGGAATGTTGAAGACCTAATTCAATATACCTTGTGTTAACCCGCGCCCCGGTGGGGGTCCTGGATTTCCACGCCCTGCTGGGGGGGGGGGGGGGGGTTTGAACACCACCCCCTTCTAACTCGGCCCCTGGGCCACGTAGCGGTTATACGCGGAAGGCGGCGTTCGAAAGAGCGCCAAAAATAACGACGAAATCACTTCGGTTTTTTGTCAGGTCAAAGGTCAGGTCATCAGAGGTCATTGAAGGCAGAATTTCACGGATTTTCAGGCCGAATGTCATCAATTTCCAAGAAGCCAATGCATAACTCGGGAACCAATAGAGCTACAGCGCCGCGGAAAAGCGCATTCGATAGCACTATTAACACCCTTTCTGAGTAATTCTCTCAGATTTGACCTAACAACCGTTTTGCCTGCAGGGGACAAAAACTGCCAAAATAGCCGATTTTTTCGTTTTTTTTCTGCATTTACTTTTGACCCAAGCCTTGCACGAGTTTACTTTTACCGGCATCGTGTTCCTCTCGTCAAGACGAATCGAATGAACTGTAACTTGACCTTGAAAGGTCAACATGAAAATTTGACCTCAGGTCAAGGTCATGACCTGATCGGAAATGGTCATTTTGCATATCAGTCGATCCGTATCGTCGAGCTGAACACATCTAAGGCGTTTTCATCGCTCTAGCATGCCTCTATCAAAAGCTATTTGTGAAAAACATATACCACTCGTGACCTGAGATGACCTCAGGGGCCAAACAGGGGTCACGGACACCATTTTCATGTTAAGTGTGTCGAAGTTACTTGTAATTCAGTGTTTGGGCTTGGGAGTGTTTATAATGGCTTTCGTCCAAAAGCGGCGCATTTCAGTTTTCTCCCATTTTATAATGGGGAGGTCACAAAATTGACCTGACCGTAGGTCATTGATATCAAAATTCTGAGATATACATTTTTTACATGCTACTGCTCTTAGCAATCGCTGAAAGTTTCACGGCGATCGGTTACTCGGTGTAGCTATGGCAGCCATGAAACTTTTTATGAGGTGAGGTCACTTCAAGTGACCTGGTGACCTGGCCTTGAATGGCCTTGGTCAGAAATTTTCACAACATGTGTAGAATTGATGTTTGATAAGGTGTGCCAAAAACGGCTTTTGAGATATTCGTGAAAAGCCACAGGGGGTGTTCAAACACCCCCCCCCCCCCCCCCCAGCAGGGCGCGGGCGGGAAAGAAGTGTGACTGTTGGGTGAGCCGTGAGGTGACTGTTGGGTAAGGTAGGGGAGAGTGGGGCAAAGCGGCCACCCTAACGCTTCTTACGATGCCGACGCTTGATTTTTAAACTTGGAAACATTCTTTCTATACAAATATGATCCCTATTAAATTGTCTTTTATTTCAACTGCGTTTCATTCCCAAAGGCGTTCACATATGGGAGATATTGACAAACCTTTTAACCTATGCATATTGGCCGCTTTGCCCCATACCCTGGGGCAAAGCGGCCACCGGCAACTACTCAAGTCCCGATGTGAGAAACAGAATAGTTGCCTCATGTACGACTAGGGTATTTGATGGTGACAAGGTTTAAGCAAGAATGGATGTTTACTTTGTCATCATCCCACCTGTAGGTAAACAAAGAAAGGATTTTCATGGAAAAACATTTAGTTGCATTATTTGGTAACTTATGTAACCGAAAAGTGGCCAAGATGAATGCATGACGACACATTTGAACATAAATAATATTTTTATCCAGATGGAAACAACTTATGGCTAATTGGGGGCTGGCCACTTTGCCCCGGCCACTTTGCCCCGTGCATACCGTCCGAGACAAAAATATTCCAGCTCAGGTACTAGTGGGACAAAATTGGTTGAAGATATGTACGATGACCACGTAATGCATGGACAAGAACGCCTATAAAAATTCCAAACGGTTATGGAATAAAATAACATTTAAAAAATGTAAACATTGTTGGTAACCTGGCAAGAAATGCTTTTCCGTGTGTCACCGAACAATGGCGATGGGCTGGAAACCCCGGTCGGGCTCATTCGAACGACCACGAAGAGAAGTATAATCGGAAACCATAAATTGGAACTGACGCCAGCTGTGGACGGCTAAAACAATGGGTGACCGCTTTGCCCCGGGTGGCCGCTTTGCCCCACTCTCCCCTATTCTCCAAGGAACGGTCGGCGATCAGCTGACGTCACCAGCAGGCAGTGGCGGCGCCACGAATTTTCGCCAGTGGGGGCAAGCTTGAGGTGACCCGACTGTTGTCTGATACGCCGATCTGCAAAATCCATGAACACCTTGCCCCTAGATGTTGCCATTCAAGTTATTATGGTTTCAGGTTTCATGCATGCGTATTGAGCTGAACCATTAACCCTCGCGGGCCCGCGCTGAAAGGGGGGGGGGGGAGCGTTTTTCGCCTCCCATTGGCGAATATTTGCGATACCTCACGAACGCTTAGGAATAGAAAGACGAAACTTGTCTTATCCCCACTTGTCTTAGACGAAACCTTATCCCCCATTAACTTGACATCTTTTGAAGCAAAAAATTTGGACCTAGCATCCTTGATAACGTCTCAGGGCCGATTTCTCTAGGCAAACTTCGACGCCACAGACGTGAACTTCAACCAGCTGCCAAAAATAGAGTTTTAGAGATAAAGACAAATTACGAGCACGGTTGTGTAGCATTTCACCCAGAAAAAAATACGCAAGTAACTTTGGTGAACTGAGGTCAGAGATCAGGTCAACGACTCCGAGCTGGGACTTGAGTTTTTTTCGCAAATAACTTCAACAAAAATGATGGTCCTAGAGCTACGACAGTGGTACCTTCGCATCCGTCTCGTCGAGTCGCGTCGAATGACATATATATTGTTTGGAAAAAGTCAAGTTTTATGTTGACCTCATGTGACCTCGAATGAACTTTTGTTTACTTTGGCACATGAAAGGTCGTTTGTGATTATTTCGTAGCCGCTGATTACGATTCTGGCATCCATTTTGCTCAAAGCATTTGCTTAGAGCCTCAGGATGGCAAAACGTGTCTTAATTATTATGCCTGTCTTGAATAAGTGAAAGAGAAAAAGTATAAGAAAAAGTGCAAAGTTTGTGGTCAATTTTGAGCAGGACCGTGACCTTGAATTTTAATGTTATGCACATCATGGGAATTCCAGACTCGCTTCTTTCGTTTAACATCTGCATTTTAGCCGGTTTTATGCACCATGCCGTCCTCTGGAACACGTACTTTGAGACCACTACAAAAGGACCGGTTTTTGCCTTTGACCTTGACTTCTGACCTTGAAAATTGACGTGAGGTCAAAAGGTTTAGGTGCTTTAAGAATCTTCTCGTAGATATCTTTCGTCTGTTACCATTTTTGTTTCCGTAACTGCCTTATTTACGGAGTTAGACAGGTGGGGGAGAGGGGCTACCCCCGGGCTGCGCACTGCGGTGCGGTGGTCGGGATTACCCCCGGGCCCGGCCGGGTTAAGGTCGCGAGCAAATAAAACTAAAAAACAAGATGTAAAATGGTGTATTCTTCAAAACAATAGTCAGTACCTAGTTCTCTTTTTTCCCGTAGTACGTATGTACATGTGCGATTCTCTCACACACGATTGATATACCAGAATAAGCTCCATTAGTGCGACCCACATACATTTCCAGGTAACCCGCGGATATAACTACATACCTATCACATTTTGTCATACCTCCCTGAGCTCAGTCTCAGTCTAAGGGTTCCCAAAAGAGGGTGATCTCTTCTCTGGCCGACTTTTGACAAGCTGCCTCTCAACCTCCTCGAGGTCAAGCTCGAGGACAGCCTTCTGGTGCAAATGAAAAAGAGTAGGAGGAGCATGAGTGGGAGTAGGAGATATGCGACAGACGGTCCGAGAACGAACGTTCTGCTGATGCACTTGATACGGGGACCGTCAAAAACAGGCGTACTATTATGTTATTAACCGTCTATCATGAATGTTGCACCGGTCTTCTGTTCCCTTTTCAACATCAGCCAAATTTTGTGGGGGCAAAAACATAGTCTTACCCCCACGGCCTCCTGCCAGTGGGGGCAGTTTTCCCCCACTGCCCCCACGGTGGCGCCGCCCTTGCCAGCAGGGCGTTTTTTACGTATTGTAATTATTAAAGTTCTCCGCTTTTCCGGAAAAGCCGAGTACTTTAATTGTATTTCTATATTCTTTGCTGATAACTATATTGTAATTATAATACATTATTGCCTTATTGAAATAATTTTCGGATTGTATCTGACCTAAAAAATGGTATGTTATGTGCAGGTCACGGTTCGTCGTTAAGTCATTTCATCCACAAAAGAAACGAAATATACCATTCGAAAGCTGACGGTGAGCTGAATCCAAAAATGTAATTTTTATCAAAATCGTACGTTGGCCTTTTTCAAAAATTTCGTTTTTATAAAAACGTCATAATTTTTTAATCGAATTTTAGTCAAGGACATTCTTGGAATCATAGGCATGTTTTTCCCAGTGGAAGCTGAATGCCAAAGGAACAATATGCAGCAATAAAATATTCTCAAATATTAACATGCGCCTCTCACAGCCGGCAACAAGGCGCAATGACACAACTGAGCGTCACGATGGATCAATTTCAGCCACACAGAAGCGTGAAATGACCCTTATCGGCTCGCAGACCCGGCTCTTGGCCCGTCTGACCGGCCACGGAAGAAACGTTCGAGTCTCGTCCTGCTCAACAAGTGTCATATTTGTTTGTTTAACGATCCATATCGCTATCAAAGCCATTCAGGATACCTGCGCATAAAGTCCATTGTTCTGCTAGACCTATAACATGGAGGAGAGAATACTGGAGTGGCAACTTCACGCTTTTTTTGCGACAGACACCTTCCAGCTAGTACCGTTCATAGGTTCTTATCGAAAGCAGAACTACACCATTCAGCCAATCAGCGTTGCCAACCGTCCGTAATTCAACCAATGAGCGCGCTCGTAACCAGCTGACGAATAAAATGAACAGACTACATCGAGCAATATTTCAGATTGTTTGCGCGGCGTGGTGCGGCGATGATGGTTGATGTCGATTGAGTTGAAGTATTTTGTTTTATGAATATACAGTGAGGTATTTCAATTTTAGTATAAGAATTTGGTTATATCAAGTACATAGCGAAATCGAAATGGAAAAAAGGAAAGGAAGTCGTTCATGGTGTGGCGCGATCAACTGCACCAACTCGTCTCAAAGAAATCCCGAGAAGTCCTTCCACCGCTTTCCGCGTGACACAAAGAGGTAAATAGTTTGATAAAGACACTGATCATAACCATATATTGTGTAATCTGTAAGTTTTAAAGGGACCCTCCCACCTTTAAAAAAGTTTATGAATTGGCATGAAAGTGATGTCGCTCGGTTCAGAAAGAGCGAAAACGAATATCTACCAAATTTCACCGAAAAATATTCACCGGTTTTCAAGATATTAGACTTTTACTTTTGTTTACTTTTTGGGATCTCCGCTGTTCCTAGCGACTTTATTTAAAAGTGCGGCATTTGTTGCGCGCAACGCAGCATATACCACCGCGTGCTACAAAACGTTTTAGTCAAACATTTAACGGACGTTCGAAAGCCTGATGACGTCATCAGATTTAAGTGCCTATACCAATACATTGTGGCACTTATTTGCACAGATGTCAAAATCAAACTCAAATTTCTTTGCGATGAAGTAATTGCTGGAGAAACGGTTTTCACGGCACTGATTTTCAAAGAACGTCCATCAAGATGGCTATCTCAACTCAAATCTAATGTTAAGGTGGGACAGTCCCTTTAATGTCAATTTCAACGAGCCGGCGCCTGCCCGTTCTTCCCGTCCTCGTCTCCACTTCCAGCTGTAGATGTACCGCCCTTCGCGCACCGGATTTGAGATTAATCTGTGAAAGTCGCTAGAACTTGAATGTAACCATTGTCTTCTCCGTTTAATTTCCTGCTCATTGATGTACAAAAATCACACGTAGCGCCCAAAATAATCCTCCTACGCCCTTTTCTCTAAACCGCTGCACGCCATAGCCCGCCATTATAAGCCGACCGCCGCGACCCGCCGATACTAGCTGGGGCGTTTCGACCCGCTCCCGCTAGGTGGCCCGTGTCTGTCGCTAACGGCCCATGCTAAAGGCATGGAGTTGCCACTCCAGTATTCTCTCCTCCATGCCTATAACATGCTTTAACTTACATTTTCTTATACATGTTTTGCTCCGTATCGCTGCGCTCAATGTCCGCGCAGGGAATCTTAATCGTAATCGTAATCGTATGTACCTATTCATAAAAATCTCCACATCGTGGCTCTTTCGATTTTAGAGTCATTACAGTAGTTAAACACAGTGGACATGTTCATAAAACACGGAAAATGATGGTTTAAAAAAATCACTATAAATTGCTCAATGCGATAGAACTGAGCACATCTACTCCCCCATGTCTCGTGATTCACCTCCGTGGGTGACCCAATAAACGACTCCTCCTGAGCTCGGTTGGCAGGCGGTTCCTGAGCCCTGTTCGGGTCCGCGCAAAATATTTTGCTGAGTGTGAAGTCACACATGCGATGATGTCAGCCGCCTGGCTCCGCCCATGCTCCGCCCCGTCTCCGCCGGTTCGCAAAGCCGAGGGCCAAGCGACACGCGGCGAACCGTGGCGCGGATGGACTGGTGTGTTTCGTTCAGTTACTAAGTAAACTGCGTTCAAATGTGGTTAATAGCAATGTGCCACTGAAAAGAAAGATAATGATATCAAAACAACACCATACTAACCACTTACAATAAGAAATATATGAGGGTAAACTTAAATCCGCGCCACTTTCGCCTCCTGCAGCTACTATTTTCTTCTTGCGCAAAACTGAAAGATTTTGCGCGAGCCTACGTCACACGTGTGACGTCATACGCCGAAGGGCGGAGCTTGGCACCCGAGAGACCCCAACTGCGCATGCGTGGTGCAAAATTTTACAATAGGATGCGCTGCCCGAACAGGGCTCAGGCACGCGTGGAGTTTGCAGCACCATACTCTCCGATCCCCGCGTGGTCCTGTCTGACACCTCCGAACGGGACATAATCATTGCGCGCAGGTGCTCAGGCGACTCAGGTTACCCCAGAATCCGACAGAGTGCCGCTAAGTCACATTTAGACCTCTTTAGTCCGGTGATGATCCTGGCACCAAAATTTAGAACTTTCTGGATCCTATCACGGTGACTGATCCTATACTTTTGGGCTTTGGTGCAGCCGCCCCAAACGGTCAGACAGTATGTGGACAGTGATGTGGGGATAAACAAGCCCTTCGATGATAACTTTTTTTCTTTTGGTCTCGTGTGGTAGTCGCCAGTCGGTGGCTCAGCTTTGCAAGTCCCACCAACATACCATAAAAGTTTGCGGGTTTCACTGTCAGAGGCTGTACCAGTGACAGCTGTTCGGCTTTGCGACCGGTCAAAAGCTAGCCCCGCCCCGCCGGGCGCTACCCCCACTCCAGCCCAGCTGAGGCCGGTACAACCTCTGACAGCTCAGCGCGGCCAACTTTCCTTGTCTGGGCATAATGCCTAGCTGAATTGAGCAAAGAAGACATAAACTAATGCAAATTCATGCATGATGTGAAAATGAAAGAGCAATGAATCTTCCTCTCAGGTATCCTGTACAACTTTAGTACCGACTTGAAGCGTTTAACGAACAAATAGGTATGACGTCCGTTTAGTAGGGCGACAGCCAAACGTCCCTTCCGTGCCCCGTCAGACAGCCGAGAGCGCCGGGTCTGCGAGTCGATAAGGATGATTTTACGCTTTTGTGTGGCTTACTTTGATCCATCGTGACACTGAGTTGTGTGATTGCGCCTTGTTGCTGGCTGTGAGAGACGCATATTAATATTTGACATTATTTTTTCGCTACATATTGTTCTTTTGACACTCAGCTTTCACTGGAAAACGAAAAACACGCTAATGATTTCAAGAATGTTCTTGACAGCTCGATGAATAAAAATTAGTACGTTTTTACAAAAACGCATTTTTTTTTTAAGGCCATCGAACGATTTCAATAAAAAGTTACATTTTTGGAATCAGGTCACTGTAAGGTTTCGAGTGGTCATTTCGTTTCTTTTGTGAGTGAAATGATTTTCCGACGAACCGTGAGGCAGTAAGCATTTAGCTGTACTGCTGTCCAGCCATTAGTTGTAGCGTTTAGTTATCATTTATGATGATTGTGTCTCTCTTTCTTGCAGTGGTTGGTTCAGAAGTGACTAAAAGAAAGGGCTGCAAGTCTTCTCAATGGCTAGCGGATCAGAACCGAGAAATGTGGAAGACCAAAGCGCAAATCAAGTGGCTATATCAGTTACAGTAAAGACTCCAAAGGAAAAACAAACATTTACTGTGGCGCCTGACTGTCTCATAGCAGACTTCAAGAAACAAATAGCGGAGGGCTTCAAGGCCGTCTCTGCACAACTCTGCCTTATCTATGCCGGGAAGATTATGAAAGACCATGAGACATTGGCAACTCACAAGGTCAAAGACGGGCAGACTGTGCATCTCGTTATCAAGAACCCCAAGCCTGCGGAAACGCCGGCGACAGCGGGGGATTCGCCTGCGGCCAGTGAGTCAGCGGCCGGCCCACCGCCAGCCACCAGTAGCGCTGCGGGGGGACTAGGTCTCGGCACATTTGGTGGGCTGCCTGGCCTCTCCAATTTGGGCATGGGCTCGGCCAGCTTCCAAGAGCTGCAAAGAAGCATGCAGCAGGAGATGCTTCGTAATCCAGAGATGCTTCAGCAAATGATGGATAATCCTATGGTGCAAAACATGATGAGCAATCCCGACGTTATGCGCCAGTTGATGCAGTCGAATCCGCAAATGCAGCAGCTGATGGAGCGTAACCCGGAGATCACGCATATGCTCAACAATCCGGAGTTGCTGCGGCAGACGATGGAGCTGGCTCGCAATCCAGCCATGATGCAGGAGCTGGTGAGGCAGCAGGACCGAGCCATGTCAAATTTAGAGTCTATCCCCGGTGGTTTCAGCGCACTGCAACGCGTCTATAGAGACATTCAAGAGCCCATGCTAGACGCCGCCCAGGAGATGACAAGCAATCCCTTCAACAACCCGGCATCGACCGATGCTGGTTCTGGCTCAGGAACTGGTTCGACGCCAGCTGGCGCCCCCAGCAGCGAGCCACTGCCGAACCCGTGGGCTCCGCCGACTACATCTGCGCCTTCGGCGGCCCCTCGTCCTGCTGACGGCACGACGACGCCGTCAGCAGGCCTCGGCGCGTCCGGAATGCAAGGACTAATGCGGCAGATGGCAGGGAATCCCCAGGCACTTCAGAACATGCTGAATGCTCCTTACATGCAGCCGATGCTACAGTCTCTGGCGTCCGATCCACAGCTGGCGAGATCGGTTATCGCCAACAACCCGCTGCTCGCCGGAAATGAGCAACTCCAGCGTCAGGTGACCTCCATGCTGCCCACTTTCCTTCAGCAGATGCAGAACCCAGAAATGCAGCAACTATTGACAAATCCAGAGGCACTTCAAGCTATCCAGCAGGTGCAACAGGGTCTGAGCACTCTGCAGCAGACCTCGCCAGGGCTTTTCAGTTCGATGGGTATGGGCACAACACCCCCATCAACCACGACAACCACACAGGCATCTCCGACGTCGCCTGCCTCACAGAATACCCAGGCGCCTCCAACCGGCAGCGATCAACTCTCCCAATTCATGGCTCGCATGATGGGTCAGGTGGGACTTGGTGGAGCTGGGGCGCCGCCTCCCGAGGAACGTTTCCGATCTCAGTTGCAGCAGCTAGCTGCGATGGGCTTTGTTAACCGTGAAGCCAACGTCCGTGCCCTGGTTGCCACTTTTGGCGATGTGAACGCAGCCGTGGAGCGGCTATTGGGCGGAGGCAGCGGAGGGAACGGCGGTGGCGGTGCCCCGCCGTCCCAGTCGAGCTGAAAACACGTTGTCGTCATCCGTCATCGTCTCGCAGACCACTCGGCGGGCCGATGCCGACCAGTGGTGTAATTTTGGACGATGACAAGAGTCGGCGAGGAGCCTTCTACCGAAACGGGATCCACTGTTCAGTTCCGCGGTCGGTAACCAATGTGTGATTATTCGGATTAATTTTAATCGTTTGATTCAGGCGTGATCTAGCGACAGTGTATCGTCGGTGGCATTGGTTATCCATGTGGTATCGGATTTGTGCTTTAGATAGCTCCGATGTACCCTGTCAACGGGCAGGAACAGAATACGGCTTTCCACACTTCTTCAGTAAACATTGTTGAAGCGTTCATAGTAGTAAAGCATGGAGCGCAGGTACCCATTTAACGGACAACTGAGGATCGTTTAAACATATGAGCGACATAAACTGGAAAATAAAAGGATTTGTAGGTGCGACGCAATATCTTTATACCCCAACTGATAGCGGCGATCCTGTATGCTTAACTCTGTCACGTGACATAGCTCACGCTCTTTGAATTTAAATGCTTCTTGGCCATTGAAGTGCGAAAATGATGCATTCGTTAACATTTTCGGTATAGTTGATAATCAAGACAGCTAGAATACATTCATGGCTTATCTTTCGCATTTATTCCTTGTTTGTTTATGAATATCAGTAGGCAGGTAAAGTTATATCTATGTGGTGTGTGTCGTTTATGGTTCTGGTTAGTGTGTTCGGCTTCTTACTGGTGTCAATGTGTTGGTGTTCTGAAATATGGAATGCGAGCATTTGCTCACAGGAAATTGATGCAAAGTTTTTGATGAACGGGTGTTATTGATCTGTGGTTGAAATTGCGAGGCTGCATTTTTCCTTTCTTGGCGCGCATTATCTTCTAACTGACACTGGCACTGTATCTTGTCGCCTACGTACGCGCTACAACATGCGCCGATGTGATTGAGACGTAAAGCCACTGGTTGAATGGTGAACCGTGAATATGCCGTGAACTGTTACACTTCAGCGGTCCTCTGAAGTGTGTCTTTACACGCTGGCTCCTGTACGTAAGTTCTTAGTGCCGATGACGGCTGACCGCTAGTGGCCCCAATCGGGTCGGCGAGCGGTTCTGAGGGGCACCGGCCACCGACAGTACAGGTTCGCCTTGTATGGACGACGAACGACAGTTCCGTGTCTTTGGTCAATACAAATGGCATACATACAGAGATCTGGTGTTACAATTCTTCATGGGAATGGGATCGTTGGCGGATCCGCCGATCCGGAAACGAGGGTGGGCGGCGCTACATCTGGGGAATGCACAATGTACACAGCACTGACTGCTAGTAATTGTTTCCTTTTGGCGATTGCGATAGAGCTTAAAATTTTCTTGAGCTGAAAGTAACTTGACTTCTGCCTTGTGACCGGCACGTGACATACGGGATGAAAATTTCCACGTCCCTCGAAATAGTTGCTACAGTTATGTGAATTTTATGCTTAAAATGATCAGAAAAGAAAGTAAATTAAGTTTACTGAATTATTTATTTTTTTGAATATTTCGTATAGGAAGAACTACTTTCCGTCTTTGGTTGAGACTAATTAGTGTTTGCAGAGGTGAAGCTTATAACGCGTTGACAAATCATATCCCGCGCCGGGCCGGGAGGGGGGGATATGGTTTGAGCATTGCCCCCCTGCGGTTTTTGGCACACCTGTTCCTGCATCTTTTCCGCACATGTGAGAATTTTACACATAGGTCATGGTCAGGTCACCACGTCACTTTGAGTGACCTCAACTAAAAGGTTTCAATGTCTGTCTGAGGAACACCGAGTGGCTGATCACTTTGAAACTTTCGCCGATTGATCAGGCCAGCAGTCTGTACAAAATGTATATCTCGGAATTTCAATATCGGTGACCTAAGGTCAAGTCAATTTTGCGACCTCCCAATTCTAAGTCAGTGGAGGAAAACTGAAATACGTCTCTTCTGGACGGACGCCATTCTAAACACTTCAAAGCACCTTATAACAAGTCAGCATGACACACTGAACTGGAAAATTGCATTTGTTTGTTTGTTTTGTTGGGTTAGGCCCTTTCGGTCCAATTAGACCATTTCAGAGCCGGAAGGATGATAGGAATTAGGGGGAGACATTGGTCTGGGCAGGTACCCTAGTGAGTCACCGGGGCTGAGCCCATCCCGAAGGACAGGCCGACCAGCCCCAAGGTACTCACTACACCCGGCTACGGGGTGCGCTCCCTCGGGAGCAGCGGTGCCGCTCCAAGGGAGCAGCCCGCATGAGATAAAGTTGCCTGTCCAGCCCGGAGGGCCGAGGGGCTTGCGGCGCCGGCGTGGAGAAGGATTTCCGTACATAGGCGCGGGAGCCGGGGGGGCAGTGGGGGCAGCTTGCCCCCCCCCCAACTCTGGGGCCGTGGGGGCGGTGCCCCCACAGCTTTGAGACGGAATACCACACTTTTTTTGCAAATGTTTTCTTTTTTTGTTGAAAAAGCCGAGGGGTGAAAAATAAGTGGCCTAAAACCGGTGAGAAAACTAGATTTGGGGGTACCCTAGGTTAATCTCTATTATGGTGTGCCCCCCAGTCGGAAAGTAGTTCCCGCGCCCCTGTTTCCGTATCCTGAGGATAGAAGCATGGGAACGGTGGGAAAATGGCAACACGTCACTTCCTTATATCTGAGGTCATCTCAGGTCACAACTGGGGGTCGCCTTTCGCTAATAACTTCTAATGGACGCATGTTAGAGCGATGAAACACCTCAGATGTGTTCAGGTCGACTATACGGATCAACTGTATGCAACATGACCGTTTCCGGCCAGGTCATGACCTTGACCTAAGGTCAACTTTTCAAAATGTCTGTTTAATGTCAATTTATAGTTCATCCGACGCGTCTCGGCGTCTGAGTCGACGAGAGAAACACGACGCTGCCAAAATCAATATCGTTGCTCTCTTGAGTCAAAAGTTATGACAAAAACATTTTTCCCGGGTATTTTTAGTTTTTGCCCTCTGGACTACACTTTTCCATTTTCTTTTATGCATAAAAGTTGTCAGGTGAAGTTGCACAATGCACACGCAGGGTTATACGTTTAGAATGACGCGGGATAAGGAAAATGCTGCAAAATAGGCAATTCTAGCTACTCTAGCTATTCTAGCTAAGGAACATCTGCACCGGAAATGGGGAGTGTCTAAAAAGCAGACGAGATTAGCAGACGAGCCCGGCATGCAGACGAGCATGCCGGGCATGGGCTCGTCTGCTTTTAAAGGGACACTCCCACAGGAAACAGTCCACTTTCCTGAAATCAGTATTTTGCTATTGATTTATGATTTTTTATGCTCAAAATAATCATGAAATAAAATAAAACCTTTTTGTAAAAACAATTATTTTCTTTATTTTAATATAGGGCGAACTATATTCTATGTAAAATAATGTTTGACGCGGAAGCTTATTACGCATTGACCAATCATATTGCGTAGCTCAAACCTACGAATACTGCATTGGCTGTAAGCAGCACGCTGATTGGCTGACGATGACGTGGCTGCATTCCTGTGCAAGGCACGCATTCCTCTACAAGGCACTCTTTTCGGAACGAGAAATGGAATTTCTTCGTCTAGGGTGATCGCTGAGCCGTAAAAGCTCCTGATTTGTGCTAGTCTCAGCTCAAGCTACGAAACTGCTATTCCAGCTCAAAACCCCATGTTAACCCGCGCCCGGCTGGGGGTCCTGGATTTCCACGCCCTGCTGGGGGGGGGGGGGGTGTTTGAACACCCCCCCTTCTAACTCGGCTCCTGGGCCACGTAGCGATACGCGGAAGGCGGCGTTCGAAAGAGCGTCAAAAATAATGAGGAAATCACTTCGGTCAATTTTTTGGTCAGGTCAAAGGTCAGGTCACCAGAGGTCATTGAAGGCAAATTTTCGCCGATTTCCAGGTCGAATGTCGAAAATTTCCAAGAAGCCAACGCATAACTCGGGAACCAATAGAGCTACAGCGCCGCGGAAAAGCGCATTCGATAGCCCTATTAACGCCCTTTCTGAGTAATTTTCTCAGATTTGACCTAACGTCAACGGTTTTGCCTGCAGGGGGCAAAAACTGCAAAAATAGCCGATTTTTTCGGAAACAGTTTTCTGCAATAACTTTTGACCCAAGCATTGTACGAGCTTACTTTTACCGGCATCGTGTTCCTCTCGTCAAGACGCATCGAACGAACTATAATTTGACCTTGAAAGGTCAACTTGAAAATTTGACCTCAGGTCAAGGTCATGACCTGACCGGAAAGGGTCATGTTGCATATCAGTCGATCCGTATCGTCGAGCTGAACACATCTAAGGCGTTTTCATCGCTCTAGCATGCCTCTATCAAAAGTTATTTGCGAAAAACTGTTAGATACCATTCGTGACCTAAGATGACCTCAGGGCATAAACAGGGGTCACAGACACCATTTTCATGTTCAGTGTGTCTAAACCACTTGTAATTCAGTGTTTGGGAGTGTTTATAATGTCTTTCGTCCAAAACAGGCGCATTTCAATTTTCTCCCATTGACTTATAATGGTGAGGTCGCAAAATTGACCTGACCTTAGGTCATCGATATCAAAATTCTGAGATATACATTTTGTACATGCTAATGCTCTTAGCAATCGCTGAAAGTTTCAAAGCGATCGGTCACTCGGTGTAGCTATGACAGACATTGAAACTTTTTATGAGGTGAGGTCACTTCGAGTGACCTGGTGACCTGACCTTGAATGACCTTGGTCTGAAATTTTCACAACATGTGTAGAATTGATGTATGATAAGGTGTACCAAAAACGGCGGCGCTCCGCGCCGCCGTTTTTGAGATATTCGCGAAAAACCACAGGGGGGGGGTGTTCAAACACCCCCCCCAGCAGGGCGCGGGTTAAAAGTGAACTATTTCCTTTAACATTAGTTTTGAGTTGAGATAGCCAAATTGGTGGCCATGGCCTGCAAATACCGGTTTGGGCACTCACAACATCGACAAATGCTTTAATTCGGAGATATGGAATTTCAAACTTGCAGTTTTCGGATTCTAAGGGGCTAGTGCATTGGTATGCCCCCTTAGAATTTGTGACGTCAGCGGAGATCTAACGATTTTTAAATCTTTTACTAAAACGTTTGGTAGCACGCGGTGGTATATGCTGCTTTGCGCGCAACAAATGCCGGCGCCGCACTTTTAAATAAAGTCGCTAGGAACAGCGGAGATCCCAAAAAGTAAACAAAAGTAAAAGTCTAATATCTTGAAAACCGGTGAATATTTTTCGATGAAATTTGGTAGATATTCGTTTTCGCTCTTTCTGAACCGAGCGACATCACTTTCGTGCCAATTCATTAACTTTTTTGAAGGTGGGAGGGTCCCTTTAAGGGGGTGTATGGTTCTGGACCATTTTGGTCCGATTGGTCCAGTCAGAGTGAACCAATCGCCAAAAAACGAAAAACGGCACCTATATAATTTCCCTGCTATTAAATGATGAAAGAATTATCAAAATCGGTCCAGTAGTTACTGAGCATGGGCTCGTCTGCTAATCTCGTCTGCTTTTTAGACACTCCCCCGGAAATGTCTACCTGAATGAGAGAGCTCGGCTCAGAGCCCTGATCGGCGGCCGGAGCGCTGTTCGGCGGCCGGCTAGCGCGCTAGCCCGCGCACACATACGTGCACGTTGCCCCGGCAACGGGCTATTGACCAATGAGAAGCGCGCTACGGGGGGCACAGGTATATGAAAAATCGCAGTGACGTTGCACTTTCCTCGCTTCTCATTGGTCAATAGCCCGTTGCCGGGGCAACCAGCACGTATGTGAGCGCCGGCAAGAGTACTAGCCGGCCGCCGATCAGAGCCCAGCTAGTACTCTTGCCGGCGCTCACATACGTGCACGTTTCCCCGGCAACGGGCTATTGACCAATGAGAAGCGAGAAAAGTGTTACGTCACTGCGATTTTTCATATACCTGTGCCCCCCGGACGTGACGTAGTGTGCTCGCGCGCGTGCAGGGTCTCTGCGATCGAAAAAGAGCGCTAGCAGCGCGCCACTCGACGCCGCAATCGTCTAAAGCGGCGTGTTAGTATGCTTTATTATGAATGATGTATGTAAAAGTGAGTTTTTATGTTGTTAATGTGGAGGAAATGGTTGGAATAAAATAAGTTATTTTTATTTCTATTGGTTGGAGTTTTTATTCAAAAGATTTCGGTCTATAGCATTGATATTTACTGAAAATGCCTTCGTTTGAATAAATTGCAGATATTTGGCAACTTAAGTGTTAGGTAAGCCTAAATGATACCTAAAAAGGTAAGAGATACCCTGATTATCATTTGAGAAACGAAAATATATGAATTTCCCTTATAAGGCTCGCTCAACACGCTACTCCGCGGTTTATGCCCCGAGGGTGTCCGAGGGTTCCCGTTAGTTTGTCGTTGGCGCTCGGCTCGCGCGCGAGCCGACGTCATCGCCCGTGACGTCGGCTCGCGGAATGCGTCATACCCTGCACACAAAATAGCCGGCTGCCGAACAGCGCTCAGGAGCCCTGATCGGCGGCCGGCTAGTACTCTTGCCCGCGCTCACATACGTGCACGTTACCCCGGCAACGGGCTATTGACCAATGAGAAGCGAGAAAAGTGTTACGTCACTGCGATTTTTCATATACCTGTGCCCCCCGGACGTGACGTAGTGTGCTCGCGCGCGTGCAGGGTCTCTGCGATCGAAAAAGAGCGCTAGCAGCGCGCCACTCGACGCCGCAATTGTCAAAAGCGGCGTGTTAGTATGCTTTATTATGAATGATGTGTGTTAAAGTCAGTTTTGATGTTGTGAATTTGGAGGAAATGGTTGGAATAAAATAAGTTATTTTTATTTCTATTGGTTGGAATTTTTATTCAAAAGATTTCGGTCTATAGCATTGATATTTACTGAAAATACCTTCGTTTGAATAAGTTGCAGATATTAGGCAACTGAAGTGTGAGGTAAGCCTAAATGATACGTAAAAAGGTAAGAGACATCCGGGCCCTGATCGGCGGCCGGCTAGTACTCTTGCCGGCGCTCACATACGTGCTGGTTGCCCCGGCAACGGGCTATTGACCAATGAGAAGCGAGGAAATTGCAACGTCACTGCGATTTTTCATATACCTGTGCCCCCCGTAGCGCGCTTCTCATTGGTCAATAGCCCGTTGCCGGGGCAACGTGCACGTATGTGTGCGCGGGCTAGCGCTCTAGCCGACCGCCGAACAGCGCTCCTGATTATCATTTGAGAAACGAAAATACATGAATTTCCCTTGTAAGACTCGCCCAATATGCTACTCCGCGGTTTATGCCCCGAGGGTGTCCTAGGGTTCCCGTTAGTTCGTCGTTGGCGCTCGGCTCGCGCGCGAGCCGACGTCATCGCCCGTGACGTCGGCTCGCGGAATGCGTCATACCCTGCACACAAAATAGCCGGCTGCCGAACAGCGCTAGGGTATTCTGCTGATCTGCTGCTGAAGTTTTCGCCCATTCAAAATTGACAGAGGGGCGGAAGGTTGAAGGGGAGGAGGGGAGTGTCAGTGACTGGAGACATGATGATGCATTTTACAGGCGGTTTGTGAGCATAGATATAAAGACTTTATTTCTATCTTCAGGGTTTGTTTTTCATTAGTGTTTGAAACTGTTTTTTTATTTCTATGTTTGTGAAGCTATTGACGTCATGTTATTTGACCTTGACTTTGGCAGCAGGATTGAAGGGGTTTACTGAACAGCTCTCAGCATGGCCGAAAACATTCGCCTTGTACTACGTTTTAATTTCTAATTTGAGTTTTGAGCACGTTTTGAGCCTCGGAATGAGGAGTGGATTAATGCCGTGTAATAATTAGTATTCTATGACCGTGATAATTAGTGTCCACGGCTAAACAGATTGAGGTGTTGAGGGCTGCGATCAAGTAATTTTGGATTGTGGTTTAATCTCAATCTTCGAGGGGATAGCAATAGGTAGGTAGGTTGGGGAAGTTGAGATCACTGGCGGATCCGGAACAAGAAATGTGGTCTTGGACGCTGCGGGGGGGGGGGAGGGTGGTATACCATCCAAGAGTCCAAATTCCAAAAAAGAACACTGGATTTTGATACCTTATGTACTGCTGTGCACTTAAAAACACTTCCAAATAAACGTTTATTTTATCCATTCTTGAAAAGCCACACCTTTTGTTGATGCCGGTCCCGTAGCTCAGTTGGTTAGAGCGTTGGACTCCGCGTGGTGAGAGCACGCGTTCCCGGATGCGACAGTCCGGGTTCGAAGCGCGACGGGCGCTCGACATTTATGGGCCTCCTGACAGGTATGGTTGCGGTTGGTGGCAGGCCGTAGCCAGGCGAAGTCAGCGAGGGGACCGGCCGTGCGCGGCTTTGTGCGCACGTTAAACTTTGGACTCTAAATTCTGCCATAGAATCGGAATTGCGCGATCGGAGGGTAGAGGGCAGGGTCATCGCAACAAGCTGCGCTTAGCGGTGGCTCTGTCCTTGTGAATCCTTCCCATCAAAAGGTTCGGACTAAATTTCTAAAAAAAAAGATTTTGGGTGCCGCGGAGGGCATTTCCCTCTAAGCCCATGCCGCCTGGATCTGCCGGTGATTTGAGATAGCTGCTTAGGTAAATGTATTTGATTTTTTGTTGGGTTATGACTTCTATATTTTGCAGCATCATTTTTATTTTTTGAGCATATAGCTAAATTGATTTTTTATTAACTTTTTGATGCAGGGAACATGAAACTTTCCCAGTACCTATTGAAAGCCACAGGATGCAACATGGATCAAGGTTCTTTAATTTTGGTCAAGGTTCTTTAAATTCACCTTTGCAGGCCTCGTTACCATTGTGACCAAGATTCCAACTTGGCCCGTGGAAGGCATTGGGAAAACTAGTTAGTTGTCACGTGACTAGATATGGCAGTGTGCCATATCTCATGTCCTCTTTCACCCTGCTTTCACCGTCCACAAGAGAATGAACTCTTGGGGGCATTAAACTCTGTTGGGTTCAAGCTTGCAGCCGAAGTGCCCTGCTGAAAGCAGTGAGTGATTTCTGTATATACAGCTCTTACATTTTAAGAAGCAAATTCTTGAGCGGAGGAGTGATCTGCTGAAGAAACTCTGACTGCAAGCTTGATATGGAACAAACTATAGCTGCTTCTTGATTTCTGAAATCTGTGGCTTGTTTGGAAAATATTTTGTGGAATGTAATGATGACTGCTGCTTGACCTTTTTGCAAATTATTTGTCAAAATTGCAAGATAGTCAGTGCCTATATATTAATTAAGAGGACTGGCGTAGTGAAATGATGTATTGCTACCTTCTTAAACATTGAAAGTATAGAGTAGGCAGAAGGCACCCATTTTATATGATTCACCTGTGGAATGTCTGTTTAGCATTTATCATCATCATGGTTACGAGCGAGCAAGCGCAGCGAGCGAAGCGAATCTTTTCAATATAACAGAAAAATCTCAGTATGAGCGGCCCGGCCCGGCCCGGCCTGCAACGCTTTTGAGAGGCTTATATCTCAGCAACCGCTGGACCGATTAGCCTGCGGTCTTTTTTGCTGGGTAGCCCCATCCCTTCTACCCCGTCATTGACTACTTTTGATGCACCTCAGTGACCGTCGTGGCACGTGCCACGTGAAAAGTCAAGGGTGTTCAAGCTGTTTTGCAAAAGTAGTGATTTTGAGAGGCTCATATCTCAGCAGCCGCTTGGGCGATTGACTTGCGGTAATTTTCGTAGGGTAGCAGCATCCCTTCTACCAAAAATAGGATACTCTCGATGCATGTGGGTCACCCCCAGTGCACGTGCAAAATACAACAATAAGAGGTGTCAAATTTGTTCCCATTTTAATAACTCGGTAATTACTGGGGCGATTTCGCTGAAACTTGGCATACAGGTAGGCACCCACCAGGCAATGCATTCCCATGTGTTGCGGTTAAGGTGCTACTGCACGTGCGCACGTGCAGGGGGCGCTTCCAGATCTCGAGAACGGCTGGACCGATTGCGCTCAAATTTGGTACACGGTTGGGGACCAGTTAGTAGGGTGCCGTGCAAAAGCCAGTTTGGACCCCGTTTGCACGTGCGCACGTGCAGAATGCCGCTTCCAGATCTCAGGAACGGCTGGGCTGATTGCGTTCAAATTTGGCACACGGCTATCGACCGGTTAGAAGGGTGCTTTGCGCAAGTCCGTTGGAAGTACCCTCTCGCCCTTCCGCACGTGCAGGGCTCACTATCTCGCTCGCTCGTTCTTCGCCCAAAAGGCGTTTTACTGGTAGGTAGGCACCTACTTTTTAAGATAGACGTAAGAGCTCAGAACGGTATAAGCATGACACATTTACATCAGCATGACATTTTTTAATCACCCACGTCATCCCAATATTAATGAAGTCATTAGCATTATCTACAGTGGTACTTGGTAGGCTTTTGTGGTTAAATGTGACTGAAAATACCTCTGTGTCTCAGAAGTTACAAGTTCATGCTGATGCCCCCTAATGGAACTTTGTGCCTACAGGTGCTCCATTATCTGAGTCCTGTTTTGTCTCTTCATAGGCTTGAAAGTCTGAGGTGAGGCTGAAAAACTTCAAGCAGCATGCTCTTCTGACTGTCACATGCCTTATTACTATTCGTCTTCTGGATTCTGAAGAAATACATTTTAATATCATTGTTAGTTGTTACGAGCCGGAGCGAGCGAGCGCAGCGAGCGAAGCGAGTCTTTTCATTATAACGGAAAAATCTCAGTATGAGCGGCCCGGCCTGTAACGCTTTTGAGAGGCTTATATCTCAGCAACCGCTAGACCGATTGGCCTGCGGTCTTTTTTGCTGGGTAGCCCCATCCCTTCTACCCCGTAATTGACTACTTTTGATACATCTCAGTGACCGTCGTGGCACGTGCCACGTGAAAAGTCGAGGGTGTTCAAGCTGTTTTGCAAAAGTAGTGATTTTGAGAGCCTCATATCTCAGCAGCCGCTTGGGCGATTGTCTTGCGGTAATTTTTGTAGGGTAGCTGCATCCCTTCTACCAAAGGTCGGATACTCTTGATCTATGTGAGTGACCCCCACTGCGCGTGCAAAATACAAAAAGAAGAGGTGCCAATTTTTTTCCCATTTCAGTAACTCGGTAATTACTGGGGCGAATTCGCTGAAACTTGGCATACAGGTAGGCACCCCCCAGGCAATGCATTCCCATGTGTTACTGTTAGGGTGCTACTGCACGTGCGCACGTGCAGGGGGCGTTTCCAGATCTCGAGAACGGCTGGGCCGATTGCGCTAAAATTTGGTACACGGTTGGGGACCGGTTAGTAGGGTGCCGTGCAAAAGTCATTTTGGACCCCGTTTGCACGTGCGCACGTGCAGAATGCCGCTTCCAGATCTCAGGAATGGCTGGGCCGATTGCGTTCAAATTTGGCACACCGCTAGCGACCGGTTAGAAGGGTGCTTTGCACAAGCCCGTTGGAAGTACCCTTTCGCACTTCCGCACGTGCAGGGCTCACTATCTCGCTCGCTCGTTCTTCGCCCAAAAGGCGTTTTACTGGTTGTTGAGTTGCAGTGGTGTGGCCAGTAGGTAAGTGGCATATAAGGGGCACATGCCCTCTCCATTGGGTTCAGTGATGGAGGAGTGGGCACATAACAATCCAATAGGCCAGTTGATATTGTGAGGGCATTGATCTGCTTTGGGGTTCATGCTTTCCTCCAAAGGCCCTGTTCCAGATCTTGAGGCCCAGCAAGGAGTCTTGAGGACCCAATGCAGGTTGTTGAGAGTCCTTTGCAAGCTTCTGATGAGACACACTTGTTCTTTCCCACACAGGCCTATGAGAGCCACACACTGGCCCATGTTGACCTTCAAGGACCACTTCCAATGAAGTCTGAAAATCTGCCTAGATCTATGAGTGCTTCTAAGCTGGCCTCCAAAAACCCTTATCCACCTCTAATTACATCACTCTGGCCTTTGATGGTCCAGCCAGGTTCCTCAGGCCCCACATGGACCAGTGAGGGTCAACATTCTGCATCTGAGTGGCTGGTATTCCTCCAAGGGAGGGTGCCAAGCAGCATGTGATGACCACAAGAGAGCTTCTGAGGGATTTATACTCAGGTACCTGAGTATTTTATATTTTGGTCTCTAGCTGGGGTCCACATAATTGATCTCTGAGGGCCCTTGCTCTTTTTATATGGCTGTATTGTTAATTATTATAGTTATGGGATCTCTGCTTTTCACTTCTGCTCCTTATATAATGTTGATGTTTTCCAGCCATGATCTTTTTAAAGATGATAATTTATCAAATAATCAAATTTTTACGTGACACATATCAGAACGAATAATGCATATGCATGATATTTTCATTATTTTAGCAGACAAACTGCTTGTTGGACTTACTCTTACCTTTGTTGTTTTTGGTTTAGGTTGTGATTTAGTTTCGGCGATTGTGGGCGGTTTTTTCTCTGAGTTAATCTGATATTGTCTGATAAATTAGAGGGAACAAAATATGTATTTTGAGCGTCCTCCTGGTAGAGCCTCCTGAGGTCAGAACCTTGGCCAAGCTAGTTCGACGCTCGCTTTCTTTTTCTGGTTGAGACGACGCGCGTAATCGTTAGCTTATACATAAATTCAATGTACGCATGAACTTTCAGAATGTGTCGATAACAGTCCACGTTACGTCGTTGACAAATGCCCACCTTCCAATCTCCGCTCATCCGTAACACAAATTCTGACCTTTTGAACTATGCTCGTAGAAAACTGATGAAGGCAAAGGACATGCTCCCATTTCACAAAATCCGTTCTGTTTCCTAGGTGTCATGCTGATTGGGTCAAAATGTTCGCGATCCGCCACTGCGCTTCCACACAGACGGCATAAATGCCGAAAGGCTGAAATTATTGGACGTCGACTCCTATGAAATCATTGATCATTCGTTATGTTAGAACGCTCATATTATTGTAATATTATTGTAATTGTCTTTTTGAGCTATTTCTGTATTTCAATTCTGTTCCAGGCTGCTGTTAAAACTTGGTTCGTCTTCAGCTACAATATGCCCTCAAAGCTGCGAAAGGTGGCGGTTCTTGGTTTTCGTTCGGTCGGTAAGTATTTTAACCCGCGACCTGCTGGAGGGTATTTGAACACCACCCCCCCCCCCCCCGAGGTTTTTCGAATGTCTAAAAACGGCGTATTTTTCGGTCCTTTATGTTGTTTTGGGCATAACGCTGTGTTTAACCATCGTATTTGGCACACCTTATCATGATTTTTTTTTTCTGCATATGTGAAACTTTCAGACCAAGGTCTCTCATGGTCAGGTCAGGTCAAGTGACCTCACCTCATAAAAAAGTTTAATTGCCTGTCATAGCTACAACGAGTGATGGATCGCTTTGAAACATTCAGCGGTTGGTAAGAGCAACAGTAGGTAATGTACAAAATGTATATCTCGGAAATTTGATATTCGTGGCCTAAGGTCAAGTCAATTTTGCGATCTGTCCATTGTAAGTCAATGGGATGAAATTGAAAGGCGCCTCTTTTGGAAGAAAGTCATTCTAAACACTTTTTATAGTCAATGTGACACAATGAACGAGAAAATGGCACCCGTGTACCCTGGTCAATGGTCTTCTCACTGAGGTAATGTCGGGTCACAAAAGGTATGCAACAGTTTTTCGCTAATAACTTTTGATAGGGGCATGCTAGAGCGATGGCAAAAAGCTATTATAGTGTTGAGCTCGACGATACGGATCGACTGATATGCAACACAAGCTTTTCCGATCAGGTCATGACATTTACCTGAGGTCAAATTTTCAAGTTTATCTTTCAAGGTCAAAGCATCGTTCATTCGACACGTCTTGACGAGAACACGATGCCGGTAAAAATAAGATCCTGCAAGGTTTGAGTCAAAATTTATTGCAGGAAAATCGTCTCCGCAAAAATCGCCTATTTTGGCAGTTTTTTACCCCCTGCAAGCAAAATCGTTGATCTTAGGATAATCGGAGAGAATACTCAGAAAGAGCGTCAATAGAGCTATCAAGTGCGCCTTTCCACGGTGCTGTAGCTCTATAAGTTTCCGCGTTATGCTACGCTTTGTTGATAATTGTTGAGATTTGGTCTGAAAATCGGCGAAATTCGGCCTTTGATGACCTCTGGTGACCTGACCTTTGACGTGACTAAAACGTGACTAAAGTGATATCGTCATTATTTTTTAACAGATCTTGACTATACTTAGACAACTTATCGACTAACGACGACCAACGAATATTTCACATCATGATCAAGCGGAACCATTCGTTTTGGTGAAAGGAACTATTATATGCGATCACATGATGTGTTTGCTTTTCAGGTAAATCGTCTCTGTCTATTCAGTTTGTAGACAACCAGTTCGTCGACTCCTATGATCCAACTATTGAAAACAGTAAGTGTCACCACTCATCAGTCGTCAGTTATATCTTTTTCTTCTCGATGCGAACACAATAGCAGCAATTTATTTTACACAGTGGTGAATTGTTTTATTAATCTTTGGTCATAAATTTAGGATCTTGTTGAAAACGCCTGCTGAGGTTTCAGCCAAGGCGATTAGTCCAATAAATTATAATCATAGTGCCTAAGAAAATTGATTTTTCTTGTGAGGGAACTCAGTCGGCTTCATAATAAAAGACCTTACATGGTTTATGGTAGGACAATCATCTTCCTGGACTGGTGGATTTATTCATAACTTTTTACCTATGGTCCTTACCCTCTAGGGGAGACCTGGGAGGTATGGGCCGGTTTTGTAAAAAGGCAATTTTCTTCCAGTTGGCAGTGGCTAGACCCGGTTTTTCACTCTGTGCACGTGAAATTGCCTTTCGCCTGCAAAGTGTGCCTGCTGTTAGGCATCTCGGATCAACTATTTTGTCTCGAGATAACTTTCAATAAATAATGTGCCTTTTCGATCCACCAAAATACACCGGGAGGTATGGGCCATGGCCCGGGAGGTATGGGCCGGTGCCATGTTTCATATTCTTTTCTCGACAATGAGAACAATACTCGTAGCTGGTATCTACTTTGATCTCTCTTAGAGCCCAGGAACCGCATAATCGGCCAACAGCTTACTTCATGGAGGTCACTTGGGCACATATTTGTTTTGGTAAACTCAATCATGCACCATGAAATAAAATAAATAATGTTTTTCTGTTCGAATGAAATTTGAAGTTAAATTTTTAACCCTGCACGACAAAAATAAAACTTATTGAAGATGACACTCAATGAAAGTATCTTTTTATTGATTTAGGATCAACGGGGGTGGGTGGCCCGAACCTCCCGGTTAGGATGCCAGCATTTGCGTAGCGTCTCAGTTCATAATCTTGCAAGAAAGCTTCAAATTGTCTATCCAGTCTTAATTTGCATGCTTTAAACTTTATGGTAGCATTGGTCTGACATAATAAAACGAGTCTGGTTCAAATTTATCATCAATTTTCTGTATGTACATTGTACAGTATTTTACTCGAAGAGGGCAAAGACGCTTTATCACCGCTCATTGCCAAAGAAGACTGAGGAAGATTTTGAAAATCACGTGGGTTGTATAACGGAATGGCTGCTACTTTACGCGGTCAAGTGTGTAAAAATACGCAACACTTCTTCAAAACTGCGATGGCCCATACCTCCAGGGGGCCCATACCTCCCGGGTCTTTCCTACTTATTAGTGCTGCTTACTCAAATTTTATTTTACTAGTAAAACGCCTTTTGGGGCGACAAACGAGCGAGCGAGAGGGTGAGCCTTTCTCATGCGGAATTGCGAGGGGGTACTTCTAACTGACTTGTGCACGGCACCATACTTCCCGGTCTCTAGCGATGTGCCAAATTTGAGCTCAATCGACCCAGCCATACTGATGGCTGGGTCGATGTCGGAGTGGAAAGTATATTCCTTGCAAGCCATCAGTATGCCATACTGATGGCATACTGATATATTTCGAGATATGGAAGCGCCCCCTGCACTTGCGCACGATAACACATGGGAATGCATTTCCTGGTGGGTGCCTGCCTGTATGCCAAGTTTCAGTGAAATCGCCCCAGTAATTACCGAATTATCGAAATGGGAACAAATTTGACACCTCTTCTTTTGGCATTTTGTACGTGCAATGGGGGTCACTCACGAGCATCAAGAGTATCGTTTGTTTCTTAGAAGGGATGATTACCGCATGCCAATTGCCCAAGCGGCTACCGAGATAGAGGCCTCTCAAAAGTATGAGAGTATGAGTATGAGTAAAGTATGAGATGTATCAAAAGTAGTCAATTATGGGATAGAAGGGATCGGGCTACCCAGCAAAACATGCCGCAGGCCAATCGGTCCAGCGGCTGCTGAGCTATAAGCCTCTCAAAAGCGTTACGGGCCGGGCCGGGCCGGGCCGCTCATGCTGATATTTTTCGATAAAAAGTTAATTGTTTTCAAAACGGGCTTCGCTGAGGAAAACTAAATATTATAACAAAATAGTTCGGCTTTATTTATCAGCCTTGTTCACTGGCAACATCTGATATTTTTCGGTTATATTGAAAAGACTTCGTTCGCTCGCTCGCTCGTAATCACGTATTTGTGAGACATGATGTCGCTGCGTTGAACGTTAGATAACAATTACAAACTGAGGCCTGTTTCACTAAAAACTTGCGATTACAAGTGTTTGAACTTTACAATTCATAAGTATTTTTGCAAACTATGTAAAATCGGATTTCACTAAACTTCATCACCAGCGGCACCTCCGATAAAAAGAGTTGGTAAATAAACTTGTAAACTGTAAAATTGTTTTTAATCAAGAACTATAACATGTTACAGATATTGCTTCTTTTTATCAAACTATGTCTAGTATTCATGTCAGAAATTGCAGGAATAAATTAAAAATAATGATGCTGTTTCTGAATGGTATAAACTAGGGTTACCCGCGTGCTCCGCAACGCAAAGGGGGGATTTTTTGACCCGTGGGTATTGGGTTGGTCTGTGTCGATTTGGTTGGTAGATATCCATTTCGTTCGATTGCTTTTTGACGGCCAAGCATTTTGTAAGAAAACAAAAAGATACATCGCATCGAGGTGCCCGTGTCGTATTATCATGCGTTCTACTTTAGAATGATTCGAAAACTGGCGTGAAGTCTTTTGAGGGCCATCGATGAATTTCGCTAAAAATGACAATGTAATGGTTTGGAACATTTACATTTTTAAGGATACTGTTGCTAATCATGCAAAAATGAAGAGTGAATATTGGACAGAATTGAATGCTCTATCCAATGGGACCATATTCAATTGCCAAAGGTATCAGGTTATGCAGCAAACCCCGTGTGATTAATAAAGTGGCACAAAATTGACAAACACCATTTTCTCCTGTGATTTGCACCACCTTGATTTGGATCAATCAGCTTTTCACAATTTTTATATGAGAGGCGGTACCTTTCTCTTGCAAAAAGGCGTTGATTCAACTCACTCCGTTTAACGGTCACCTAAAAATAAAATTAATTCCAAAATCCCTCAAAAACCGCAATTTTTCAAATAAAAGTGCCCTCTCCGGTGCACGTGGCGCGTGCTATCCTCTGCATTGCACACCATTCAATAGCCCGTTCAATTCTGTACCTACACGATGCTGTTTTCCTCGTGCCGGTCGGATCCCTGGTCACCAAGATATTGCACGGGGACTGGACCCGTGTCGGCCAAAATTAGCCGTTTTCGCCCGATTTCGCACGCCGATTTATACATGTAAAGTCTATGACGCGAATTTGCACTTTTTGAGCACGCGCCTCGCGCTCCCTATCAATCCGATCGAGCTGAGACCCCTCAAAGGCACGTCGCGCATCCTTGATCTATAAGTTGTGCAAATTTCAGCGCGGTAGGTGCAACGGTCTGGCCTGTAGTCCACGCAAAGCAGCACCAAGTCGGGACCTCGGTAACGGACAGACGCACCCTCCTCAAATAGTAATATAGATGATAGTTCACCATATCTTATTATTGAAAGAAAATAACACGCAAAATATTTGACAGCAGAAGACTGTTGAATGCAATTATGGCGCGCGAATGACAAAACATGACGATATTTATTTATTGCTCGCAGCTGGTTCGTAGGGATTGTGCTAAGTAAAAAAGAGCATATAATGACTCAGCATATCATATTTGTTTTAAATAATTGATTGCTTTGCATCATTGCGCGAAAAGTAATAAAATTCCAAACGTAAGGGCCACTGGAATTACGGGTTTGTAAGTACAACGTTTTCTTTCAAGTTTTTGGTCTTCGTGAAACAGAAAGTTTGCGATTTCGATGTTTCTTACAAACTTTTTTCTTGTAAAAAGTTGGTAAATTTTAAACTCAAAATTCATGTCCGAAGGTTTCGTGAAATCCAAATTTCAAATGTTGGTAATTATTTCTTTTAAACTCAAGTTTTTTCTTTGTAATTACACACTTTATTTGTTAGTGAAACAGGCCTCAGCTTGCAAAAAGATCGCGAAATTATTTATATTGCTTGCGAGGAATATACTTTGCAACTGTTAATTCCTACCTTCTTTCCACTCCGACATTCACAAGATACTCTAGCTTGGGACACTGAATGTTCATAATTACCGATTAGCTTCACCGTCCGGTTAAGCTTATTCTTTGTTCGTGATTCGGTGTTTCTTTTTACGGAGCGAGCGAAGCGAGCGTAGTCTTTCCTTAAGATTAACGGAAATTTCTGAGTATGAGCGGCCGGCCGGCCGGCCGGCCGTGGTCACGATTTTGCGAGGCTTATATCTCAGCAACCACTTGACCGATTTACATGCGGTAATTTTTGTAGGGTAGCCTCATTTCTTCTACCAAGTATTGGACTATTCCTGATGCATGTGGGTGACCCCTTATGCACGTGCCACGTGCAAAACGAAGAGGTGTCAGTTTTGTAATTGTTGCAATATCTCGGTAACTACTGGGCCGATTGTGCTGAAAGTTGGCAGTTGAAAGCAAAGTTGAAAGCAAAGTTGAAAGCAGTTAGTAGGGTGCCGTGCACAAGTCAGTTGGGACCCATTTTGCACGTGCGCACGTGCAGGGTGCCGCTTCCAGATCTCGAGAACGGCTGGGCCGATTGTGCTCAAATTTGGCACATCGCTAGAGACCGGTTAGAAGGGTGCCGTGCACAAGTCAGTTGGAGGTACCCCCTCGCAATTTCGCACGTGCAAGGCCCACCCTCTCGCTCGCTCCGTTAGTCGCCCCAAAAGGCGTTATACTGGTATTACGGAGCGAGCGAAGCGAGCGTAGTCTTTCCTTAGATTAACGGAAATTTCTGAGTATGAGCGGCCGGCCGGCCGGCCAGCCGGCCGGCCGGCCGTGGTCACGCTTTTGCGAGGCTTATATCTCAGCAACCACTTGACCGATTTACACGCGGTAATTTTTGTAGGGTAGCTTCATTCCTTCTACCAAGTATTGGACTATTCCTGATGCATGTGGGTGACTCCTTATGCACGTGCCACGTGCAAAAAGAAGAGGTGTCCGTTTTGTAATTGTTGCAATATCTCGGTAACTACTTGGCCGATTGCGCTGAAAGTTGGCATGTAGGTAGGCACCCACTTGGCACTGCATATCCACGTGCCAGAGTTGGGGTGCTGCTGCGCGTGCGCACGTGCAGGGGTCGTTTCCAGATCTCGAGAACGGCTCGACCGATTGCGCTCAAATTTGGTACACAGTTAGGGACCGGTTAGTAGGGTGCCGTGCACAAGTCAGTTGGGACCCATTTTGCACGTGCGCACGTGCAGGGTGCCGCTTCCAGATCTCGAGAACGACTGGGCTAATTGTGCCCAAATTTGGCACGTCGCTAGAGACCGGTTAGTAGGGTGCCGTGCACAAGTCAGTTGGAGGCACCTCCTCGCAATTTCGCACGTGCAAGGCCCACCCTCTCGCTCGCTCCGTTAGTCGCCCCAAAAGGCGTTATACTGGTCTTAGCTTAGGCAGACCTCACTTATTTCGTTCATTTCTTTCTCCACAGCGTTCTCAAAGGTGGTGAAGGTGCGAGGTCAGGACTACGAAATTAAGATTGTGGACACGGCTGGTCAGGACGAGTATTCCATCATGCCGAGTCAGTACACGATGGACGTTCACGGCTACGTGCTGGTCTACAGCATCAACTCTCAGAAAAGCTTCGAAGTAGTCCGCTCGATCCACGATCGGCTGCTCGACCTCACCGGCGAAGTCAAGTGAGTCGCCTGATCTAATCAGGTCTTGCTATTGGAATTCAGGTACACAAGGCAGTCACCTAAAGCATAGGCCATTTGAAGCATAGATAGTGTTTAATGCACAAAGCAATAGCAGTAGGCGCCGCAGCTCTAGCCAGTGCTCGACGGGGCTGTTGGTACCATCATCAGTCCGCTGATTGTGCGGGAGAACACGTCACCATACGATAAGGATTGGTCACTGTCGGTCGCGTACTCAGACATAGATATCGTGCACGGCAATCCTGTCCGACAGGGGAGGTGGGCAGGAGCTGTGGGTGGTAGGTGGTGGCTGGTAGGCGATGGGTGGTAGGTGGTGGGTAGTGGGTTGTGGGTTGTGGGTTGTGGGTAGTGGGCGTTGGGCAGGAGCTGTGGGTGGTGGACGGTAGCTAAGCTACAGATGCCTACAGACCATGACGTGCAAACAAATTTGATACGAATTATCGTCTAACTTGGAAGCTTTATCGTATTTGTTTAAAATGCATCACTGCTATCTATCATGCTATGGTGCTATCTATTTAATGCACACAAGCTATCTAAGAGTGTTGTCACATTTAGCTTTCCTCGCTGCTGTTAACCACCCCACGTGTTGATTTACCTCCCCAAAAAGCATTTAATGAGAATATCTTGGCCGGGGTATCTGGTGATTCATATCAAAACAAGATAGTGACATCAGTGGCATTATTTATTTTTCCCTCGCTGGTTCGTCTCGGAGGATATATGGTTACTGTTTGGCCGTATAGCGGGCAAAAGTAAAAATTATTGTCCGATGTGACGTTACTGTAGCCCGAGGGTGGCGACCGAAACATTCTTTATTGTCCGAGGCGTAGCTGAGAGCAACTCGTTGACGTTGAGGTCTTCGCCCAGGGGCTACAATGGGTCACATAGGAAAATGTGTTTTTTTTTCTGCCCTACCCCTACCACTTTATCATATGGCCAGGCTCCCACTCGCTAATAAATGTCGCTAAATATGTCGCCCGGATCAAAGGAAAATTGAAAAAGGTTAGAGCACGCGCGGATTACTATTGCCCGTTGTCATGGTGTCATAGATAAAAATATGCAATCCCTCAGAGGGAAATCAAATGTGAAAAATGCGGCCAACAGTCATAATTATCTCTCACCCAGTTAGTATACGAGCCATGTAATAATGAGGGATTTTGCACAGCTAATTACAAACGTTTTTCTTATCATAAACGTTAACAACTATATATTTGATAAAAAAAAACCTCTTCGCAGCCTCCCTATGGTTGTTGTTGGAAACAAAACGGACCTTCATCGTGAGCGTGAGATCACGTACGAGGAAGGCAAACGACTGGCCGATCAGTGGGGTGCCCTCTTTCTCGAGACGTCAGCAAAGCGAAATGAGGTGAGTTAAGTTCGTATATCACTGTAGATGTCAAATTTACCTTCATGGCGTTTTAAGCTCCCTTTACGCGGTCATGTAATGGACTATAAATACCAACTCTCGACGAGTTACAACTGCTTACCAATGAGTAACAACCATTTGATGTACCCAATGTCTTGTTTTACCAATTCGATATTCGGTATCTGAATTAAGGTTATTGTCGATGTGGTTTGGCAATCAGTTAACTTTAACCATTTTGCTTTCATATGAAAAGCTCCATTTCTAATTATTATAATGGAAAGAGTAATTAACAAGTAGGCGAATAAATAAAATATTCACGGGCCAAATGTGATGCATACCTATATGAAATATCCATGGTGAGTGATGCCACTTGACACGAGTTCGTTTTGGGCTGTGTGTGCCGACAACAGTCGGTGGCGGATGTCTTCAGCCAGCTCGTTGTTGAAATGGAGCGGGCCGACGGCAACGCCCCCAAGGACTCCAACTGTGTCATCCAGTGAGGCAAGCTCTCCTCGGCGGCAAGTAGTGATTTTGGCGTCCCGTGGGAGGACGCTGGCCCGGCCGTGTCAGATTCAGTGAAGTCGATATCGCGGCGCGGGTCGGGCGTTGGCGTGGGAGGGTATGTATGTGTGTGTGCGGGTGGTTGTTGGTATGTATGCATTATGTGCGTATATGTGTGTGTGTTTGAGAGTATGAGCGTTCGTATTTGTTTGTACGCGCCCGCCCAAGGACGCGAGCTGTCGTGGAGCAAGTAACAAGGCGGAGCTCGTTATATCGTTGACATATTCAATCGAGCCGAGATGTTCCGCTGCACATGTCGGTGCGTAGATGGGAAGTGGGGTTCATGCATTTTTATGATACTAATTCAATAGACTTTTCCTTGTCTTTGAATTATTCGTCGTGGGTTCAACACACTGGAGCACCACTAATTGTGTGGTGGAGGCGGCTGATGTTATTTTAACTCCAGTGCTTTGCATACTGTGACTGACGAATGGATATCGCACGACTCTTACTAGTGATGAACGTCGTGCCGCAGTCTTGTGCTAGACATTGTCGGCTTTGTGCTTGGTCAATGTTCCGGATAAGACTCTTATAGTTTTTTTTTTGTGGAAACATTGAGATGAATAAATAAATATATGGTGTGCCACCTTTCCTTGAATTTTACGGTCGCATTGAGGGAAATTCGCTTTTTTCAAGGGTCATTTAACCATTGAAGAATATGTAAAATGAGTTCGAAATATGTCACATGTGTATACTGTGTACAGCGCAGAGAGTACCTCACAGGAACGACTCCCGTGTTTTGTCCACTTTTCTCCCCTCTTCCCCCCTCCAATTCAAGCTCTGGTTTGAAACAGAAGGGACTCCCGGTGCTTCTCCGGAGTTTGTTGTAATGCATCTCTACCTGATGACCATCGCATATACATATTGTCATACTTGTAGGCTGTAGCACATAGCAATGTCTTCCTTCAGCAACTGCGTAAGTTATCCAGTCTCTGTCAGCCTATCGTCCCTTTCTTGGTCATAAAATAAGTGGTGTACCTACGTTTGATCATTCGTCGATCATGGCCAGTGCGAAACAGAACTCATAAACGAAGCAAACAAGGTTCAACATGGCGACACATTTAGAATTTAGATCACAGTGGGCACTCAGTTCTTCGATACCAATTTCCAAGAGATAGCAATGCTATTGTCCCGAACGACGATTGCTGAGCTGTGGTGGACTCTGGGCGGTTTTGTTGGACGGCGTGTAGTTGCTCTGAGCGGTCGGTGTCTGCTGATCGCAGCTCGCCAGCACCAGAGCAGCTCAGCAACCAGTACCAGCAGGCTCAGCAGGTGTCCGCCAGCCAGTAGCGCCAGCGCCGACACCACGCTGGGCAGACCGAGACCCTGCAAAACGCACAGTGACCTCAGTAATAAATAGGTACACGTCTGCCCTACAGACAGGCGGCCCGACAGTCTTGACTAAATCAGGGGCGGATCCAGGAATTTTCGGGAGGGGGGGCGGCAAGTCAAAATAGGGGCGACCTGGCAATTCGGGGGCGCTTCATACGAAGGGGCGCCAAACCGTCGTCAAACCCGCGCCGTGCTGGGGGACGTTGTCATGCTCCCCCTCAGTTTTTTTTTCTGCAAATATCTGAAAAACAGTTGTGCGCAGCGCCGCCGTTTTTAGCACACCTTATCATGCATCTTTTCTGCACATGTTGTAAAAATGTCAGGCCCGGGTCATGCAACGGCAGGTCACCAGGTCATGCCAAGTGACATAACCCCAAAAAGTTAAAATGCTCACCATTGCTATACCGACTGAACGGTCGCTTTGAAACTGTCAGCGATTGATGAAAGCATCAATATTCATGAAATGTATCTCTCGGAATTTTGATATTTGTGAGCTAAGGTCAGGTCAGTTTTACGACATCTCCAATCTCCATTAGGTATATACCTAAGTTTATGGGAGACAACTGAACGGCATCTCTTTTGGACGAGCGCCATTCTAGACAATCGCAAGCATTAGGATACATGTAAAATTAACACACTGAATAAGAAAATTGCACCTGTGACCGACCATTCATTATGTCCCACAGGTCATCCCAGGTCATGAAAGGTCCACAACAGTTTTTTGAAAATAACTTTTGATAGATACATGCTAGAACGATAAAAACACCTCAGTTGTGCTCAGCTTGACGATACGGATCGACTGATATGCAACATGACATTTCCCGGTGATGTCATGACCTTGACCTGAGGTCAAATTCTCAAAATTACCTTTCAAGATCATCCAGCATCCTATAGTGCATTCGACGCGTCTCGACGACAGAAACGCAATGCTGGCAAACGTAATGCCGAGACTCTCTTGAGTCAAAAGCTATTGCAGGAGAACATTGTTCGTAAAACTGCTATTTTTAGAGTTTTGCCCTCTGGAGGCTAATCCGTTGACCAGAGGTCAATTTTGAGGGCAGTTTACAGAAACACCTTTGAAAGGGCTATTAAATGCGCTTTACCGCGGCACTATAGCTCTATTGGTTTCCGAGCTAGGTTTGTGCCGGTGTTTCGAAAAATGTTGAAATAGGCAACATTTTACCTTTGATGACCTTTGGTGACCTGACCTTATTTGACCTAACCTAGAAAACCGCTTACCGCGTGTCGCTACGCGACCTAGGAGCCGAGTTAGACGAGGGGGCGTGACCTCCCCCCCCCCCCCAGGACAACGCGGAATTCGGAAAACTCAGACCACCAGCACGGCGCGGGTTAAAAGTCGTAGCTGGGCGCCGCTACGTTAGCAAAAAAATATTAGCAAAAGGTGGCCTCCATTTGCTGGTGCATCCTTCTTCTCCCGGTGATTTCCCTCTTTTTTTCTGGAGGCGTCTCACTTATGCTGGTTTGCCTCACTTCTCCTGGGGGCGCCCAGCCTCTGCTTGGATCGCCCAATCCCTCATGGGGAGGCCCACTTTGCTTGAGTCGCCTCATTTCTTGAGAACTACCAATTTGCTGTAGGCGACCCACTTATCTGGGACGCCCATCTTCTGCTAGAAGCGCCCTTCTTCTTCCTGATGCGTCACACTTCTACTTGGAGTGCACCTGTTCTGTTAGGGCGCCCCTTTGCTGCTGGGGAGTCCCTTTTTCTACTGTGAATGGGGCGACCCTCTCTTGTTGGGCGACCCCTAATTATGCTGGAGGCGCCCCATTTCTGTCCAACGTTTGCCTGTTCTGCAGGGGGCACTTCTCTTTTGCTGGAGACACCTCTTCTGGGGGCGCCCTTCCACTGCGGGGGACGTCTCTTTTCTGCCAGCGACACCCTTTTTCTTCTTATGGGGCTCCTCTTTTTTTGCTGGGGCGCCCCTCTTTTGTTCGGAGTGGGGCACCCCCTCCTTTTTCTGGGGCACCGCTCCTCTGCTGGGGCTGCCCTTCCGCTGTCAGGAGCGCCCCCTTGCGCAGAATATGCTCCTTTTCTTCTTGTAATGAGGCGCCCCTCTTCTACTGGGGGCACCCAACAACTGCTACCTGCTGGGGCGCGCATCTGCTGCCGGGGCAACTCTCTTCTGCCGGATAATGTCAATGGGGCGCCCCTATCCTGCTCGGCGAGCCAAACCTCTGCCGGAGACTCCCTATTTCTGATCAACTTTTGCTGTGGCGCCTCTCTTCTGCTGGGGCGCCTCTCTTCTGCTGGGGCGCCCCTCTGCTACTGGGGGCGCCCATCTCCTGCTGGAGATCATTCTCTCCTGCTGGGCCCCTTCCGCTGCCGGGGGCGCCCCTCTTCTGCCAGTGGCACCCATTTTCTTCTTATGGGGCTCCTTTTTTGCTGGGGCGCCCATCTGCTGTCAGGGCGCCCCACTTCTTCTCGGAATGGGGCGCCTCTCTCCGTTCGCTGGGGTGTCGCTCCTCTTCAGGGGTGCTTTCTCCTGCTGGGGGGGGGGGGGCCCTTCCGCTGCCAGGGGCGCCCCTCTTGAACAGGAGGTATCTTTTTACTCTTGTAATAAGACGCGTGGGGCTCCTTTTTTTTGCTGGGGCGCCCATCTGCTGTCAGGGCGCCCCTCTTCTTCTCGGAATAGGGGCGCCTCTCTCCGTTTGCTGGGGCGTCGCTCCTCTTCAGGGGTGCTTTCTCCTGCTGGGGGTGCCCTTCCGCTGCCAGGGGCGCCCCTCTTGAACAGAAGGTATCTTTTTACTCTTGTAATAAGACGCCCCTCTTCTGCTGGGGGCGCCCATCTGCTGCTTGGGCGACTCTCATCTGCTTGGAATGGGCAATTGGGCGTCGCTCTTCTGCTTGGTGAGCCCAACTTCTGCTGGAGGCGCCCTATTTCTCCTCAACCTTTGCTGTGTCGCGCGCTCTTCTGCTCGGGTCGCCCTCTCTGCCGCGGGCTATGGGCGCCTTTTCGGATGGAGGGGGGGGGGCGGCCGCCCCCGCCGCCCCCCGCTGGATCCGCGCCTGGACTAAATAGACTAGCAGACATACGGACACATTCAGAGGACTAACAAACAGGTTCTACGGCCCACAGTTTGGCAGAGTATTTAACAGACTTACGGACACATTCAGCAGTCTGACAGTCGCACAGAACGGACTATCACACGCACAGCGGTCAGCGGACTTACAAAGTGACTTGCAGCGGCCCAACAGCCTGACAGAGTGAACTAACAGACGGTACCGCGTCCCGATAGTTGGGACAATTCAGTCTCGCAATTCCATTGACACTTTTTTGTTAACAGCAATAATCTGACCATCTTAGCCATCGCGCGAGTCTAAACTTTCATTTGTATTACACGAGACTGAAGTTCATTTCTGACCTTCATCTCCCGGTCATCACACGATTCCCTCTTGGATAGCTCTCGGTCGGCAGTGTGTTTCAGCAGGCCGCTTTCTATGAGGCGAAACAGGCTGCGGGGCAAGAGGTGAAACTGTCCTCAGCTGTGGCATGAGACCTTGGAATCTAACGAGTGAGGACTTATGAGTGAATACTTTTTATCTAAATCATCAAAGTTGACTATGGTACCTATGGATTTACCGGCCCTTACCGCTTATTTCGAGACTCGACTCGCGACTGATGACTGAAGTTGTGTCGGGAAAATTGCAGAAGGCGTGGTCGGCTAGCAATCGGGAAAAGTAAAGTATGATCTACTTTACCTATAGGTACTTACTGGTAATCGAAGAATTGCTTATATGGCGAATGCTTCTGAACTCCAAAGGCGACATTGTGTTTGTAATATTCGTCGTCGAGTTTGACAATATCGCACGTAGCTTCCACTGAAAATTGAAAAGGGAAAATGTTTTCATATTTTTCGCTTCTTTTTGTAGCTGTTACCTAATTCACAATCAAAATGTTACAGACACGCCTACATAGCGGTCTGAGTCCGTCCAGTTGTGCGACCATGGTACGACCAAATAACCGTGAACAGAATTCGTACTAAGTGGACAGCTTTGCTAATAAAATTCATCTGAGAACTCGGCTTGCGACTCCGAAACGTACCGCTTCCTGTCCAGGCGAAGTATGCCATCTTCTCCGCTCTGGCGTGATCCCAGCCTTCCTTGTGATCGTGTAACGGCCAGACGTGTCTCTTGAACACTTGGCGATGCGTCGCTGATCTCGAGTACTGGAACAAAAATGAAAAATATTCAGGTCGCTGGTATTCTTTCTAAAAAAAAGATGCATAGGTAAATGTAGTATAAATCTTTTACGGTCTCCATCCGTTTCTTTGGGCGACCGGCTGATCCCACCACACACTCCATAACTGCCACCCGGCGAGACCAAGGTCCTGTTTCACCGGTGACAGCAGCACGCTGCTCTTACACGTGTCAAATTGGGTTTCCATGGAGACGTCAACAAGCCTATTCCTCCAACCAAGATACCTATAATAAACAGGTAGATCCGATGTTTTGAGTAAAGCCCTGGTGACGTCACTGATATTTCTTATATGGAGAATTTCACCCGTAAGGAAAATATTTTACATACAAAAATTTGTATGCTATTAGGAAAAAATACAATCTTTCAATTCCACCATGAAAATTATATAATTTAATTAATAAACTCGAAATCCTTTGAGTGTTTGTCCCAACCCCCTGTTATACCTTTGGTCACGTGACTACCATGATACACTTTGCATTTTACAAGGTTATGACTTAAACGGAAGTAATAAATGCTGCAAATGTATTATTTATGATGTTTTAGGCAGCAATCGTGTGAATATATCCTGAAATTATCAATAATCTGCTGAAAAGAAGTCACGTGATGTTACCAGATTGTGCTCGGACAGCATCTTCTTGAATTTCGATTTTGAGTACTTTGTACCTTCATTGAGGCCTAATAACGGACGTTTTTAGTTATAAAATGAAGCACTGAATCTAATGAGGGCAAAATTTATTCAGTTTTGCACTTTCAGGCCGGGCTATCCTGGCATGAACTTCGGCAAGTTTGTGTGTAAAGCCTATGGTGAAGGGAAAACTTCACGCCCGGCTGACGTCACAGACCTCGGCTACCAAATCGTGTCCGGTGGGGGCTGCCTCCAACACTACATGTCCATAAAGTTAGCGTCGTATTCGTATTCGGATTCAAATTCGAGTAATGATTTCGCTCAAAATTGGCATACAGATAGCCCATGGCACGCTGAGTTCGAAAATGGTGACCTTTTTTTCCTAGGTCAAACCGTTTGACCTTGAGAGGTCAAAATACTGCGTACCCTGTAGAATCTTTGTTTATGGTCCGATTTGAAAAATTCGACCACCAGTATGTTGGTCTCATCCAGAAGCAGTAGCACATTCAAAAAAATCCGAGGTCAAGGTCATAGGTCAAGGTCAAGGTCACTTTAAAAATCGCCGTACCCTATAAAATCTTCATTTTTGGAGCTATCGGAAAATTGCGGCCACCACTGTGTTTGTCTCATCGAGAAGCAGTAGCACATTCAAAGAAATCCGAGGTCAAGGTCATAGGTCAAGGTCAAGGTCACTTTAAACGTTAATTTTAGTCCCCGTACCCTGTAGAATCTTTGTTTATGGTCCGATTTAAAAATTTCGGCCACCACTGTGTTCGTCTCAACGAGAAGCAGTAGCACATTTGAAAAAATCCGAGGTCAAGGTCATAGGCCAAGGTCAAGGTCACTTTAAACGTTACTTTTAGTCCCCGTACCCTGTAGAATCTTTGTTTATGGTCCGATTTGAAAATTTCGGGCACCACTGTGTTCGTCTCATCGAGAAGCAGTAGCACATTTGAAAAAATTAGAGGTCAAGGTCATAGGTCAAGGTCAAGGTCACTTTAAACGTTAATTTTAGTCCCCGTACCCTGTAGAATCTTTGTTTATGGTCCGATTTAAAAATTTCGACAACCACTGTGTTCGTCTCATCGAGAAGCAGTAGCACAACTGAAAAAATCCGAGGTCAAGGTCATAGGTCAAGGTCAAGGTCACTTTAAACGTTAATTTTAGTCCCCGTACCCTGTAGAATCTTTGTTTATCGTCCGATCTGAAAATTTCGGCCACCACTGTGTTCGTCACATCGAGAAGCAGTAGCACATTTGAAAAAATCCGAGGTCAAGGTCATAGGTCAAGGTCAAGGTCACTTTAAACGTTAATTTTAGTCCCCGTACCCTGTAGAATCTTTGTTTATGGTCCGATTTGAAAATTTCGGCCACCACTGTGTTCGTCTCATCGAGAAGCAGTAGCACATTTGAAAAAATCCGAGATCAAGGTCATAGGTCAAGGTCAAGGTCACTTTAAACGTTAATTTTAGACCCCGTACCCTGTAGAATCTTTGTTTATCGTCCGATCTGAAAATTTCGGCCACCACTGTGTTTGTCTCATCGAGAAGCAGTAGCACATTCGAAAAAATCCGAGGTGAAGGTCATAGGTCAAGGTCAAGGTCACTTTAAACGTTAATTTTAGTCCCCGTACCCTGTAGAATCTTTGTTTATGGTCCGATTTGAAAATTTCGGCCACCACTGTGTTCGTCTCATCGAGAAGCAGTAGCACATTTGAAAAAATCCGAGGTCAAGGTCATAGGTCAAGGTCAAGGTCACTTTAAACGTTAATTTTAGTCCCCGTACCCTGTAGAATCTTTGTTTATGGTCCGATTTAAAAATTTCGGCCACCACTGTGTTCGTCTCATCGAGAAGCAGTAGCACATTTGAAAAAATCCAAGGTCAAGGTCATAGGTCAAGGTCAAGGTCACTTTAAACGTTAATTTTAGTCCCCGTACCCTGTAGAATCTTTGTTTATCGTCCGATCTGAAAATTTCGGCCACCACTGTGTTCGTCTCATCGAGAAGCAGTAGCACATTTGAAAAAATCCGAGGTCAAGGTCATAGGTCAAGGTCAAGGTCACTTTAAACGTTAATTTTAGTCCCCGTACCCTGTAGAATCTTTGTTTATGGTCCGATTTAAAAATTTCGGCCACCACTGTGTTCGTCTCATCGAGAAGCAGTAGCACATTTGAAAAAATCCGAGGTCAAGGTCATAGGTCAAGGTCAAGGTCACTTTAAACGTTAATTTTAGTCCCCGTACCCTGTAGAATCTTTGTTTATCGTCCGATCTGAAAATTTCGGCCACCACTGTGTTTGTCTCATCGAGAAGCAGTAGCACATTTGAAAAAATCCGAGGTCAAGGTCATAGGTCAAGGTCAAGGTCACTTTAAACGTTAATTTTAGTCCCCGTACCCTGTAGAATCTTTGTTTATGGTCCGATTTAAAAATTTCGGCCACCACTGTGTTCGTCTCATCGAGAAGCAGTAGCACATTCGAAAAAATCCGAGGTCAAGGTCATAGGTCAAGGTCAAGGACACTTTAAACATTAATTTTAGTCCCCGTACCCTGTAGAATCTTTGTTTATCGTCCGATCTGAAAATTTCGGCCACCACTGTGTTCGTCTCAACGAGAAGCAGTAGCACATTTGAAAAAATCCGAGGTCAAGGTCATAGGTCAAGGTCAAGGTCACTTTAAACGTTAATTTTAGTCCCCGTACCCTGTAGAATCTTTGTTTATGGTCCGATTTGAAAATTTCGGCCACCACTGTGTTAATCTCATCGAGAAGCAGTAGCACATTTGAAAAAATCCGAGGTCAAGGTCATAGGTCAAGGTCAAGGTCACTTTAAACGTTAATTTTAGTCCCCGTACCCTGTAGAATCTTTGTTTATCGTCCGATCTGAAAATTTCGGCCACCACTGTGTTCGTCTCATCGAGAAGCAGTAGCACATTGGAAAAAATCTGAGGTCAAGGTCATAGGTCAAGGTCAAGGTCACTTTAAACGTTAATTTTAGTCCCCGTACCCTGTAGAATCTTTGTTTATGGTCCGATTTGAAAATTTCGGCCACCACTGTGTTCGTCTCATCGAGAAGCAGTAGCACATTTGAAAAAATCCAAGGTCAAGGTCATAGGTCAAGGTCAAGGTCACTTTAAACGTTAATTTTAGTCCCCGTACCCTGTAGAATCTTTGTTTATCGTCCGATCTGAAAATTTCGGCCACCACTGTGTTTGTCTCATCGAGAAGCAGTAGCACATTTGAAAAAATCCGAGGTCAAGGTCATAGGTCAAGGTCAAGGTCACTTTAAACGTTAATTTTAGTCCCCGTACCCTGTAGAATCTTTGTTTATGGTCCGATTTAAAAATTTCGGCCACCACTGTGTTCGTCTCATCGAGAAGCAGTAGCGCATTCGAAAAAATCCGAGGTCAAGGTCATAGGTCAAGGTCAAGGTCACTTTAAACGTTAATTTTAGTCCCCGTACCCTGTAGAATCTTTGTTTATCGTCCGATCTGAAAATTTCGGCCACCACTGTGTTCGTCTCAACGAGAAGCAGTAGCACATTTGAAAAAATCCGAGGTCAAGGTCATAGGTCAAGGTCAAGGTCACTTTAAACGTTAATTTTAGTCCCCGTACCCTGTAGAATCTTTGTTTATGGTCCGATTTGAAAATTTCGGCCACCACTGTGTTCGTCTCATCGAGAAGCAGTAGCACATTTGAAAAAATCCGAGGTCAAGGTCATAGGTCAAGGTCAAGGTCACTTTAAACGTTAATTTTAGTCCCCGTACCCTGTAGAATCTTTGTTTATCGTCCGATCTGAAAATTTCGGCCACCACTGTGTTCGTCTCATCGAGAAGCAGTAGCACATTTGAAAAAATCCGAGGTCAAGGTCATAGGTCAAGGTCAAGGTCACTTTAAACGTTAATTTTAGTCCCCGTACCCTGTAGAATCTTTGTTTATGGTCCGATTTAAAAATTTCGGCCACCACTGTGTTCGTCTCATCGAGAAGCAGTAGCACATTTGAAAAAATCCGAGGTCAAGGTCATAGGTCAAGGTCAAGGTCACTTTAAACGTTAATTTTAGTCCCCGTACCCTGTAGAATCTTTGTTTATGGTCCGATTTGAAAATTTCGGCCACCACTGTGTTCGTCTCATCGAGAAGCAGTAGCACATTCGAAAAAATCCGAGGTCAAGGTCATAGGTCAAGGTCAAGGTCACTTTAAACGTTAAAATTCGGATTCAAATTCGAGTAATGATTTTGCTCAAAATTGGCATACAGATAGCCCATGGCACGCTGAGTTCAAAATTGGTCACCTTTTTTTCCTAGGTCAAACAGTTTGACCTTGAGAGGTCAAAATACTGCGTACCCTGTAGAGTGTTTATGGTCCGATTTGAAAAATTCGACCACTAGTGTGTTTGTCTCATCGAGAAGCAGTAGCACATTTAAAAAAATCCGAGGTCAAGGTCATAGGTCAAGGTCAAGGTCACTTTAAAAATCGCCGTACCCTATAAAATCTTC